TGATCTCTGCTTGCACAGGTTATTGTGACTCTTGTCTCACAACAGAAGAAACTTGCTTCTCCACATTGAGCATATCCTACTAAATACTTTGGTTTCATTTTTGCTGCTATTACAAAACAAACATTTGCAATAGTAAATGGGGCCAGACAACTGCTCCAAAGAATTGTTTAAGATATAATGATTTTGTAAATGAAGACTTTGGGGTGATTCTAATGACACTGAATTAGCCAAGTCACTGAGCTCCCTTTCCTCTCCAGGCTTCTTTGTCCCTGACAGTTTTTCGCTTCTTTCCAAGACTTTTTGATTTCACTACAGCAGACTTTGGTCTTCTGCCCTTTAGTCTGTGCTGGTTTAGAAAATGTACAGCAGCAGCCTGACTTCCTTCTCCTTGCACAACACAAGTAGCAGTAGTTTATTTTTTTGTTTAACAACTGGCTTTGGAGGACAATAGTTAAGGTTCAAGGTTAAACCTCAGGATTAGATTAGTTTTTAGAATCCAAATATATGTCCATGCACTCTTATATGTGCACTCACAAAAATATCTGCTATAGACAGCTGTACACACACAGGCACTCTATGTATTTAATTAAAATATTCAGTATAGATTTAAATAAAAAAAACCTGTCCAGCCTATATAATCAGTGTCCTGTAGTAATAGAAGAATAAAGAAGAAATATCCCAATTCTGTATATTGATTTATCATTATGAATTTTTTTGGGGGGTGTGGGTGAGACTCACATGTTCTAGTCAGATTAAACCTTTTCTTTTTTTTTTTTTTTTTTCCTGGTTATCCATCACACAGTGTGAATTTCCCTGTACAATGTCCTTTTCCATAAAGGTTTCAGCATAACTCATTCTCCAAGGAGTAACTAACTTTCCCACCCATGTGCTGAATGTCTGTGAAAGAGACATCAGAAAAAGGGCTATGAATGGTGGGGAGAAAACTCCTTCCCACAGATTAAATACATGTTTGATGGCACAGAGTGTGTTCTGACAACAGCCAAGTAATACCTATCTAGAATTTGTACCCTGTAATACCATTTTTCTTTTAAGTGCTTGTGCAGCTGTTTTGGAGTGAGTTTATGGTTGCAGCTGTAGCTGCTGTCTTTGGTGTCTATTTCACATATGTAAACCATCTCTGCAAATACACTGTTTTCTGTATGCCTTTCATGGCTAGTCTTTTCTCAATTTCAGTTCTTGTCATTCTGCTATAGATCCTGCATTATTTCACTGAATAACCCATGGGCATCAGTCTTTCTCGGGACTGTTATTTCTGTACTTTGCAAAGCCGCACAAACTGCGATCTTCCTCTGTTGATCTCAAATTTATCATGTGAAAATTAACTTCATTTTCTTTAATCAATGCCCTTGATATTAACATCTTATTTTCAGAGTTTCTTCCACATTGCAAAACATACTTCATGTAAGTCTCAATCTTGGTGAAAAAGTTAAAAACAGCTGCTTCAGTATATTTCGCTTCCTTCCATTATATCAATCATGTTCCTGATTGAATTTGATAAACTTCGACATTTAAGTACATCAGTGCTGAAATACCACAAGAGCACAGGTAACATTTTTGTACCACCTCATAGCACCATCTTTTTGTTTTGTTTTGTAGCTTTTTGTTCATTTTTTATTATTATTTTATTTTGTTTATTTCATTTTATTTTCAATTTTTGAGTTTTTTAATGAAAAATGAAGATTCTGGCACTAAATTTTAATTGAAGATATAGTCAAGACTCTTAACAAGAAGTATAAATTACTATTTTCCTTGTAAGTAGCATTTACAAAGTTGTACCCTTGATCTGTTTCCAATTTATATCCTCCTTTTGCTCTTTTTTATTACTCTTTACAGCACATTTCATTACGTATCTATTCCTATTACTTACTTCTTCGTGCTTTTCACACTGTTTAATCTTTATTTTTTACTCTCATAGTTTTTCCTGCTCTTTTATTTAATTCTCCATTCTTCATTTTCTTTCATATATTTCTGCTTTTGTTTTCTACTTTTTAATTTATTTAATACCTCTTTTGTTCTCTCCTTCTCATTTTCCATATTGCCATTGTCAATCGGTTTAAACACATCTTACATTAATTTGTCTATGAGTCATACATTATGTACCAGAAATACATTTCTGATTTCTCCAGCTGTTCTGTGAAATTCTGTTGACATTTGGGGTGGGGGTGGGGAGAGAGAGAGGTGGGGAGGGCAGTTCTCTAACATGAGTGTTGGCATTTCAGTGTCAGTTTAACATATTGATTTTGTCCAGTTTTTTCTATGTGTGGATCCAGGTGAATGTTATTGCTACCAATTTATTTTCAGATTTAGGAACACAGTGATAAGGGTCAGGAAAAGACCATCTTCCACAATCACAAACAGCAGATGCTTGATTAAGAACATTGACATCATCAATATGTATTCCCATACAACAATCTACTTTCTGTAAGCTACTGAAGACTACAAGGAGAGAGCAGGAAAGAGTGGTCCTTTATTTTCCAGAAGCCCTTCAAAATAGGCATTATTGCATAAACATTTTACATATTACATAGGAATTTTTTGGGTACTGGTCTATACCTAACTGAAAAAGGAAAACAAAATACCAGACATGCTTCCCCCCAAAAACTCCACAAAAATAGTGCTCCATTTCTGTCAGAGCTTAGAAAAAGGTATTTTCTGACTGCAGATTTGCTGATCATTTTATCACTGAATGTTAATGCCTGTAAAGCTCTTCCGTGATAACTCACCTTTCAAAATTCATGTGGGTAGAACCCAGAGCAAATAGGGGTATAAGCTACTTTCTCATTTCTTAAGTAAAAACATGCTTTGAGAAATTTACTGTATAGTATTTACTTTTGTTTATCTTAGTCAATTACTTCTCACTCACAACTGAAAAATACCATTTGAATTTTCTGTATCAGAACCTGTTCTTACAATTTTTCAAGAGACAAAGGCAATTTTTTAACTTATTCTTGAATTGTGAATTTGAGTTGCAACTAAATAACTTATTTTTTTCCTTCCTAACTTATTTTCCTTTCCTTAAGACTTTTTTTTTAATTAAGAAAATAATATCTTGTTTATAATTTTTAAATGTAAGACGCCTATAAATATGTGGCAAGTGCCACCAAAGGTCCTTGAGGAACATACAGGAAATTGGACTTACTATACTAGAGTGGCTTTATTCTTGTCTAGTTTTGTATGAGCTGCACCTACCTTCCTTTGCAATGAACTTCAGGTTTCTCCAAAGGTCAAGAACAATCTTGCTTTTAAATGGAAGAAAAGAGAATGACATTTCATTGGCTGTAACTTAAAAATTTATTTTTTACTTTTTATAAAAGTATTGACATGCTATTCATATAATGAGCATTTATAGTTTGAAATCACCACTAAGGTTTCCTGTCCTTGACTTGTTTGTAGCAGGGGTGTATGGTATTCCTTTTAATTTCTTTTTTCCACATAAAATCGCAGCTGTGCTATGCTATATCAGGATGAAGGTACTTTAATTTTTTAGGCTTGTTTTTAATTCAGTAACAAGAACAATTTCTGATGAATAGGGGAATGATATGACCCTGACCTATAGTCTAAATCTTCCAGTCATACAATACTACAAGTATTTAAAAAATAGGTAAGTCCATCTTCTATATGCATTAGTTAATTTGTATTGAAATTAATAACTTGCCATTTAAAAAAAAAATTGTCAGAGAGTGATATGCATCTTAAGATTGGCTTTAGCTTAATGGTTAGGCTGATCATGAATGTGAGGAGCCAGATTCATGGTTACCTGAACAGAAAGGATGGATTTTTAACATGCCTTGGAGGAGAACAGCGAAAGAAAAAGATATAATTGTTGCAATTTTTGCATGTCTTAACAAAGAAAATTGAGATTAGACATAAGAAAAAACACAATGAGAGTGGTTAAACACTGGGACAACTTGCCTAAAGAGGTGTAGAATCTGCATCACTACAGGTTTTCAAAACTTGACTGCCTGAAGTCCTGAAAAGCCTTTGAAGTTAGTCCCACTAAGTAGAAGCCTGGACTAGACGACCTCAAGAAGTCTCTTGAATCCTAAACTATTATATGAATCTTTCACTAACATTCAGAGCCCTCAGAGGGACTGTGGGAAATCCAAGTTTAACTTAATGTTCTTTCCAAGTTAAAGGAGAGATCTGAATCAGAGGATCGAGTATCCCATTGAATGCCAAGTCTGCAATGTACTTAAAGTCAATTTCTTCATTTCTTGACCCTACATTACCAAAGTGATTATCAGTTGAGTAGCTGGAACAGCAAGGTTGTTGGGATATCCCTTAATTAGCTTCTTTCTGCACTTTATTCCTTTTCAGTCAGTTGTTTTTTGCAGATTCTTTCTTGAGATATACTTCATTTTCTTGCACTGTTTATCAAATCAGAGCACCTAAGTTCATGTGACAAATGCAACCATGAATCCAACCCCTGCTGAAAACCAGTAGTCACATTCTTTGTGAGCATCTAGTGGTCCATGTTTGGTACACCAGGTTCTCATTTCTCAGAAATTCTTCCCCTCATTTTATTTGTTTGTTTTTACTTGTAGCTCTGTGTCAGAGGATATAAAAAAATCTCAGACTCCTTATTAATTTTCCATCTATGGTCCTGGTGAGTTTGTTCCACCATTACTTGGAAAGGATGAGAACTCATGTCTGTTTGTATAATCAGAAAATTTATTTCATTCTGTGTGAATGAAGGTTCCTTGAAGAATCAGAGGTGGAATTCCAGCTTGCTTTTTGTTAATATGTAGGACTACTGCTGTTACTTTCTCTCTGAAAGTAATCGGGTGCAAAGCAGGTAGAGGTGACTGCATCTTTGCAGATGGTGAAAACAGGATAAATAACTGTCTTTACCTGGACTCTTAGATAAGTCTGGACCTAACCCTGCTCTACTCTGGAAGTGCCCTACACATTTACTATGTTTCCCTGGTTTCAGCAAGCACATTAACATGGGCACAGGTCATCCAAATGCTTTCTCACAGTTTCAGGGCCAGAGCTGACTTGCAGCTGAGTTCCTCTGGTGTGGAACAGCCTACCTGTCTGCCTGGGAGCAGCCACATCACCACTGTCCTCCAGCATGCAGGTACATGGACTGATAAAACACAGGCAGCAGGCTGCTCTTCCAAAAGGTAAGGGTGCATTTTTTTCCCAGAGCTGAAAGAGATGATGATCTCAGTAACCAACTGTTGATCTTTTCTATAGAAGTAAATAATTCATTACCATTAGAATATGCCAGACACAAACTAGATGATCGCAGTGGTCTGGCACATGTATCCACTTGGCATTGTATCAGTGCCACCCTTATTAGTATGGATACTAGTGTTATTTGGAGAACTACAGGAATGTGTGAGAAAGTGTCAGTCTAGTCCAAAGGCACAGAAATAGGAATTCTAATAATGTATCATTCTTCTGCCTTGTGAGACTGCCCTTTCCTCAAGCTGTTGGCTGAAGAGTCAGCAGGTGGGGAGAGGAAAAGACTGCCTGCTTTTTCCTATGTTGATTTGTCTGTTCACTGCAAACAAGACATGATATATAATGGATGTGGTCTCTAATTAGACTGTTGTAAAATATGCAATTACAGCTACTAAGACCACTTCTGAATATATAAATGATTACAGGATTGTCAGTGAAACTTCTTAGGGAGTCAGTTGGTTTCCAAAATCTGCATTAATGTGTTTGTTTTTTTCATAATCAAGAATGCCTTCAGAGCTATGTACTTTCTATAAAAAATTTGCTTATTACAAAGAGCTGGACAATGCAGCTGATGATTTTCTTTCCTTTTTAGGCTTTTAAATAATTCATAATTCCAGAGAAACAATAAAAAAGTACAAAATTTTCTCATTCTTTCATATGTAAAACAATTAGGGTTTGTGGTTTTTTTCAGTGTGAGACTTGCTGAATTATATGATGTGCTAGGGATAACATTAAAATTATGAGAGTAATTTATTCATGCTACATACAACTATGTACTTGACTTGCTTTTGATAAGCAGGGAAAACATATTTCCTGTGCCTGTGATCTGTTAGCAAACTGTGTATCTTTATTGTGTGGAATTCAAGTGGCTTTGTGTTCCTATTAGTCTTTGAGCTAAAGCTTCACCTTCAGCTATTACCTAGATTTTGTAGCTAAAAGAAATGTTTTGCGTATAGGGAAGATGATGAAAAATATTTGCTGTAAGCCAACAGGAAAATTGACTTGTTCTACACAAAACAACTAGGTAAATTAGCTTTTCCTCTTAACTCTTATTTCTTATATGTTTTTCTCCTTCTTTTCTTCTCTTCCAAATCACCATATGGAAGGCAGTGCAGAAAATGAGAGCAGAGCTGAAGATAGTGGCAGATTTTGTGGATGGCCCTTGTACAGCTATGAGGGAAGGAATACAACTCAGGAGGACTTCTGGCTTTCTCTCCAACACATAGAACTAAGGCTTGCTCTGTTTATAGCTGTAACGTGGTGCTGTCTCAGAGGCACCCAGCCTCTGCTGTAAGCCCACAGTGCTCTGCTCCTGTAGCATCAAACGGAGTACCTCATGAATTTGACTTTGTCACTTAATAACAGAGGAAAGTACAAAAGTTAATAATGAATTTCTAGGTTGTGTGATCCACAACAACTATGGCCAGTATTTCATTAGTCAGAGACCAAGGTCTTTTGTCCTTTATGCGCAGCTACTCTGAGGTAAGAGTGGGGACTAATAAATCCAACAGCACCCCAGTTAACTACATGCCACCACTCGTGTCTGCATCGTATTTTTTAATACTTTCATTCTCGTGGGGTTTGAGGTAACTAATTTGCCAGGAATATGACTAATTTGGGCCTTGGGGTGTGATTTGCTAAGGTTCTGCACAATGCAGAAGTGATTAACCTTTTTTTGTATGAGAAGTGGCCTGGAAACAGAATAGTACCTGTGTTGCACTACACCTGCCTTAAGAAGCCCAGACGACCTGAACTGGCTCTGCACAGAGCCAGCTCTGAGTCTTCCTGTCCAGGGCATGATTAATCTACCTGGAATTGATTATAAATGCTTAATCCTCTTGGATAAAACGCAGATGATGGGGACTGACTAAGCCCCTGCTGCATAAGAAAAATCATTATTCATTGATAATGCTCTAATAGCAGCTCATGTGATCTAAAATAGAATAGTCTGTTTTACCAGAAAAATAAACAACTGCAAAAAATAAAATGGAATTGGGTTTTTATCTCCACCAAGGATTACATCTAGAAGGATTTTAAAAAGTGGATTTTAAAAGATTAATTTAAAATAATCTCTACAGCTCAATGGGATTTTAAATTGTATTAATTTATTTCTAAAATGTATTTAAAATCCTTTTAAAAGTAATTTTCTTTCTTTTTCTCTTGCATAAAAATGTACCTTCCAATTTGTATCATACTGTTGTCCTAATGTTAGTGGATAGGTATTTAATTTTCACTTTACTTAATATTTCTAAATATACTTGAATTATGAGAAAACTAGGAAAATATCATATTCTCACCCAAGCCTTGCTGTTTTCTGCCTGATGGAATGAGAAATCCATCCTCCAAAATACTACTTTTACATCACCTTTTTACACAGATAGAACGCAACAATAAATACTTTAAAATAAGTAAAACACTGGGTATTGCTACTCGAGGAAACGTAGTGAAAATGTTCTTATGGTATTGCTTTGTGATTACCCTCCCTGTGATCAAAAAATGTTACATTAATTCTGTGCCCCCAGTATGGCAAGGAGGTCACCTCAGTTCCTTTCGTGCTTACTTGATATTAGGAAAAATGAAAATCCTTTTCTGAGAAGGGTCAGAAATATAATCGGAAATCAAGCTATTAGACAGGAAATTACATGTAATTTTTCTGGATGAACTCACTCATGATGAGAAGAATGAAAAAACAGCTTTCTTCAAACAGGTTGTTGGTTTTGGTTTTGTTTTGTTTTTTTTCACAAACTAAAGAAGTATGTGGATAATTCTTAATGAAAACTTGCTTGGATGATCCAGAGTATCAAACTTGGTAGAATAATGAGATATCATATTTTATTCCCCTTAAATTTTTTCCAGGTGAGAAGAGTAACAATACTATAGAAAAGTAATTTCTTAGTCAGTCCAGATGAGATAATGGAGTCCTAGCCTGCCAGCTTTATTTTTCACTGAAGAGAAAGGGAATTGTTCTGTGTTGATGTTTACAACAACTTAAAGGCCAAGTAGATTGCTTGGTAGTATAGACTCCATTCATGCAGGCAGAAAGCAGTCTATCTAATTTCAAGGTATTTCAAATATGCTCTCCAGTCTCATGTATTTATTATATGAATATATAATTTTCTAATGCCACCTCTATAAGCAGACATCTCCATGCCATTAATATGATTTTCTGCTCACGGCAGTTATATTCCAATACAGACCCATTGGCTTTAGTGAGCTATTTCAATATTTATGTAAACATCTTAATAAAATGAGAATATTGCATAAGTTTTTTTCTTCCCTGTTATAAAATGACACTGGAAATACAATGAACCCAACAACCGTTCACCACAAGGCAACCCCTTGTTTTGTTTCCATCACACAACCGCTTCCTTATTTTCCAGCCGTGGAAAGAGGATCATGGAAGGAGAAAACCGCAGCTGACTGTGCTCACAAGCCCTCCATGCCCTATTGATTTTGCATGATGATGGGAACCCTATGCCTGGACCCAGGATTGTAACTCCTGTGCTGCAGGGATGAGTGAGGAGATACAGCACTCCTGGCTCTGGGCCATGGGTGAGTATTTCATAGTACAAGACTTGTATGGTTGGGAAATTTGATATGGTTTTCAGCTGTCATCCCATTTCTTGAACTTTAGGCACTTGGTACTATTTATCATGCCCTCTGTCATTGTTAGCACCTTGCCACCTCTTACCAAAGAGTCTAAGTCACTGTTGAAGTTCCTTTTGTTCTCAGTGCTTTTATAAGGCTTCCTGTCATACTTTAATTTCCATGTCTTCCCAATTTTTCTATGCTTTAGAATACTTAATTGCTCTTAATTTTAATATTTTTCTTCTTTTCAATTCACAGTGAATGGTTACTGTATTTCTAACTGCTGTTCTTTACTTTGTTACTGAGCCAGACGAGCTTCAGCTGTACTTATCCCTTCTTGTTTGGGGAACTATGACTGATTAGATCCCAATAATACCCCAATATCCCAAGCTAAGTAGCTTGTATTGAGATTCACACGCATTTTCCTGTTTAAATTTTCCTTTCCAAGTGTTTTTCCTCCCAGCCTTTCCTTGTCTTGAGGAAGCAAATATTCTTTACCTAAAAATATGAAAGTGTTGTCTGTTTCTCTGCAATGATTGCAATCAATTCATGATTTCTGGTCTCTAATCCTTGGATTAGAAGGGCAGTGATATAGAAATATCCTATTGTCTTGGACATTTTCTATATCTCATAGAAGCTCTAAGGATATTTTTCTTTGGCCTGTGTGAGATGACCACTCATCAGTCTCCCCACGTTTGAGACTTTCCCATACATTTTGTGTGCCTTGAAGTTTTTCTCTCCAAATCTGGTTAATTCAAAGAGACTCAGCAATGCCAGATCTCCTCCTGCTGATTACTAGTTAGCACACTGATCATGTATATCAGAGATCGCGATTAAGCAGTTTAGATTTCTTAGAACCCACAGATCACAGATGTCCTTCTCTCTCCTCCCTTCCCCCTGCACCAAGTAGTTGTTCACCACTTTTGCCCAGTGCCCATTCAGTGATTTTAGCCATCCCACTATTCAACTTTATGAGGCTTCAAGGGGAATTCTGAGCTCTGCCCTAGGTAGTAACCCATCACAAAGTCCACCTTGCTTTCTGAAATTACTTCTCTGTTTGAAAGGGGTTGAGTTGATGCTTCTCTGTTGTGCTAGACTATAGAGCACCCTTCTATGCTCTAAGCACAACAAATGTCTGTAGAGGCATTAAGATTTTAGTCAGTTTTGATCTAATTGCACTTGGGGACTAAAGCTTCAGTTTTTTGTTGCCATTCTTTCAGAGGAGGGCTCATCAGAGTGGGGAGGAGTGTTTAGTAGGTAAGGGGATTTTGGTGGCTTACATCCTCCCTTCAGAAAATGCATTTAACACAGGCCCTGCATCATGTAAAACTGAAGTAACTAAACAAAAAAGTAGCTACCCAAAGGACATGCAGTATACAGTAAAAAATTGATTGTTTATGAAATACTGAATTTTTCCATCTAATCCTCTTAAAACTTTGGGTGATTTGGCAGAGTTTGTCATGTGTGCTCCTGAAGCCTACATGACTGCATGTTCCAGTGGTCAGCAGGTATTTATACCTAAAAAGTTAGTCCATAGTATAAAATGTTAATATTAGTACACTGTATTCCAAAACAACATGTATTGGCAAACCATATGTTTGCCAATTGCTTTGGGGTTTTAATAGAAGATTTTTAACAACCTATTCTCAACTTTCTCTCAATTCCTATATTATAAACAATTTAGTTATGTATTTTTGTATGAAAGCACTAATTGAGTTGTCAGTTTTATATTTGAATTTAAATACTACTATGAGTGCTTAATGACAGAGGACTTCTAGTAATCAGTGTTACTGATTTATGATACTACACACAGAGTTTCTTGTGGTTTTTGTTTCAGGCTAAATAAAATACACACATGAGAGCTATCACACAAGAAAACTAAATGTCCTTAAAGCAGTGTTTAATTCTTTCATGTTTTATGAAATAAGAAATGGTAAATATGATAGATACATTCAACCATGGTGGCACTAGTTGCTTGAGAAATTTTGCCAAATAAATTAATTTTAGTTTTACCTGATGGATATATATACAAATCATATTGCAGTATAAATAAGATTTAATGCCAAGACAGTTTGACAATTTGCCTTGAAACTGCTTTTGACCTGCAGACCGGAATTCTGAATGCATGAAATAAACTATGAGAAATAATACAAAAAGTGGTCTGTTCATCAGAAGGAGTAGATGTTTTGATATACACTATTCAATGAAGAGCTTTTCATTATCATCACTGATTAAAGAATCTCTTTCATTACTAGGTGTAAATATATATATGTATGTATTTATCTATCTATCTAATCTGTCTATCAAAAACAATGGTGTTATATGAATCTCATCAAAGAACATTAATAGCAAAAATCGAAGGTCCAGAGCCCTTTTTATAGTTAGTTTTAATCATATCCTGATTGCAAAACAGACAATTTAAGTCAGTAACTTTCTTATTAAACTTACTTTGAGAGATTCAAAGTGCAGCAAATCATAAACCAATCTTCATTTTGTTTAAATTTTTCAAAAGGAAATGAGACCCAGTAGAGTGTTCCTGTCTTCCAAGTCTGCCATAAAGGCAATGAAAAACCACTCTTTAGTTCAAAATGGCATTGAAACTGATTTACACCATCAAATAAACTGTGCTTCACATTTATTGTTGCTTAGATATTAATGTATATCATGAACACACCTCAGTTTGTATCTGCATGGATACATTCCAGCCAAAGAGGCATTTCTGTAAAGCTGTCAGGAAAACATACCTGTTACCACATAAAAATACATGCAGCACTGAATGCTTTACTTTAATGAATTTATTGTGCTATGCCTATCCCAGGCTGTGAGGCAGAGCGCAGTGATTTATAACTCTCAGAGCCGTAGCCCTGATAGGATGATGAAGGACCGTTTCTCCTCGTTATGCCAGCAGAGCTTCTTTTCATCTCTTCTCTTATTCTCTGTTCATTGTTTGCCCTTGGCATCATCAGTCACCAGGCAGTACAGTTTACAAACATTGTTTTGGCTGGCAGAAAATAAATTATTCAGCCAATGACGTGAAATCTATCAAATTCCTACTAAACTGCATCTTGAAACCCCTATTCAAACTGATCCATAGTTTAGGTAACATTTGTCTTTTAAGAGAGAGATTCTTCCCTCCTCACTTGTTACATTTCCTTTAATCTTTCAGCAGGCAAAGGCTGACCAGCTTCCAAAAGCTGTAGAGACTAAATCATTTTTCTCTGAACATTTTTTGCTTTTGTTGCAAATCCCACATAGGCAACTTTATAGAAGTATAGTTGAGCAGTATTTGTCATCATGGGCAACCAAATATGAATAACAGCCAACATGGCAAAAGTAGCTGAAATTCATTGTTGGAAAGAAAACATGTAAACCAGAAAGGTGACAGGGGCAGGTCTAAAACCAGAAGCAAACAATGCATCATGTTTGTCTGCTTGGTAATATCCACATAAAATCATTTAAATTATAAAGCCCTGTTTGTCTGAGTGGCTTGGTATAATCCACAAGCAAATCAGTTGGCTACAAATGACTGAAGCTGCTGAATGGGGAATTAGGTACTTGTATATTTTATCTAAAAAAATTAAATAAATCTGGATTATAAATCTGAGCAAAAGCAGACACACTGGTATGGCTTTCCTTAAATAATCCAGCTATCTGACAGAGCTATCGTGACGATAATATGACTATACACACACTAGAATGGAGGAGTAAAGAAGAGGATTTGCAGAGTATGAAGGGAGGTGGACTCTTTCAGTGTCACACATATGTGGATTTCAAACTGTTGGGGCAAAGTCTTGAAAAATATCCAGTAACTACCATTATTGCCAAATATGGGATCACAGACTGAGAGTAACGAAAAATTATTTACTCTGCTATTCCACTACATCTGTATCTTTATATGTGTTTGAATAATTTGAAGTATGATATGGGTTTTTTTTATGATAGCCATCATAAGATGATGAACTTGAAGTTACTGCTAGGTTTAACTGACCCACCAGTCTGGGCTGTTGAGAAGTTTCAGACCTGCTGTTGATCCAGAAGAGATGGGATACAGCCACCTCCACACCAACTACATCAGCTCATCAGCTTTTCTGAAATGCATTAGCAATCAACAGTTTTAATCTGATCTTTCTGGTACAACAAACATTTGCAGAGGGAAAGACTTCACAGAAAATCTCACCCTCAGAATTGCAAAACTATGGATGAAAAATATGTTTGCTGTAGAAAAACTTGGGGGTCCTGTAATCCTTTTAAAGTAGTAAAGTAGGGAAGTGTGTTTTACTCTTGATAAGTTTGATTAAGTGCCATATAATATCTCTCTTGTTCCTTTTTGTTTTAGTCATTGGACTGTCAGAGCTGTAACAGATCTGGCTATCAAACTGTCTAAAGTATTATTTAATGAATGATTTTATGCTTTGGCAGCCTCTTCAGGCAGAGAAGTTGGTGGATTTTTGAATTATTGTTTGGATACATATGAGATTGGCTGCTGATGACCATTCAATTTGCTTTTTACCCCTCTGTGAGCACAGCAATTTTTATTGAGATTTTTTTAATAATTTTTGAGGATATTATACAACTACTTTTTTGTTCTCTGTATACTTCTAATCCTCTCCAAGATCAGCAATTCTGAAGATGACTTTCTTTCTGGAAATGGCACTGAGGCCAGGTTTCAGCCAAAACAGTGTTGACACTGTTCATTCTATTCATTCTATTACATATCAGAGAAAGCTCCTAAAACCAAATTACACCACAACTATTAAATTAGATGTAAATCTTCAGATTTGCATAATTTGTTGTCTGCAGTTTCTAAAAGCAAATGGCCAAAGTTTACAAAGAAGTGATATTAATTTTTAATAAGAAAATTCTAGCACTTGCTGTCAGTGAATGCTTAATATTGAAATTTCCAAAGTCTTTAAAATAGTTCTACGCACAATTAAGTTTGTATGACTGTTTCTTTATTTTAAATT